AAAATCATGACTCATTAAAAGCTAATCGCAGTTAACCAGTGTCAGCCTTTTGAGCCTCATGAACCCCATGTTATATTTGTTGAGTACGACATGTACTTACGCTCGCTTTACTTTTTAAATCTTTGGAAAAAACCCTGATGGGTACCAGATTGCTAAAGTTTGGAGGAATTAGGCTTGTGATCAACCAGTCAGTTGTCCCTGTGGAATTGGAGTCTTCACCCGAAGATCGGAGTTGTTTTTTCACTGTTTGCTGTCTAAGGTTATATCCTTTATACTAAGTAGCTATATATTGAGCATTGTCTTTTGATATTACCCTTATTTGTAGCTATATGGGAGATTTGACTTCCTGGGCTCACATATGGTGCATATCTGGTTTTGTTCTTAAAACTGGGTGCTACACTCTACACCCATAGCTCGAAAATATCAGTATTTATTTCACATCTTTTATAAGCTCTAATTAGATTGTCATCAATCACAAAAAAGAAGGAGATTGAAAGTGCAATCAAACTCTAATTATGTGTTTTGGTGATAATGACCACGCAATTAAATGACTAATGAGATTTATCGAGATGACAAGCAGAGAATTTTAGATCGAGGATGTTATACGAAATGGAGGAGCCCCCAATTATAAATGTTGATGGCTTCAAACTAAAAGGAGGTTTAAATTCTTTTATATTTCGAATTTGAGTATAGAAAAAGCTGTACTATAAAGGGGACACATTGCTTAAGCTAAAGTGTGCTACCAAGTGCTCAATCTAACACTTACATCCTCAGTTACTCAGCCAAGATAGCCAGCACTTCATTCTTAACATTTGTTGTCTTGCCTGGTGAGGGGGGTATTTATACTTTTCTCTTTCCCCTCCAACGTCTCTCTTTTTCCTCCAACCGTTCCAATCGTGCAGAAGCTGAAAAGTGCTCTTCTCTCTCTTCTCCATTTGTGACCTTGAGCTCCCAAGCTTCTTCATTGATTTTCACATCAATCCTTGAGAGAAAAAGGTGCCAAACTCGATTAGAGAGCAGATCCACTGATTCTCAAACTCTAAAGAGCACTTGGTTCATATTTTGGTCGGCGGTTGTGTTTGTTACTCTTGGAGCTTGGCTCCTAGCTAGCTAGAGCGTCGCCCATGGAGCTTACCAACTTGTGTGGCAGCTCCGGGAGGTTTATAACCAACTCTTGCAGCTAGTAAACTCATCCCTCATCTCAATAGTTAACTCTCTTCACTTGAGAACAAGGAAGGGTTAAAAAGCCCTAAGCCTTAGTGGCTAACCTTAACAACGTGGACTTAGATAAGCCTTAGTGGCGAGCTGAACCACGGGATAAATCATTGTGTCATCATGTGCTTGCTTTACATTCTTGTGATTCATGTTGTTGTTGAGGTGATTTCTAGGGTTTGTGGCTGATCTACTTGTGTGTGGTGTTCCTACCATTTCTCGCTGTCAATTTGTATTCTACACACCTGTAGGGACCTCAATAAATTCTTGGATTCAACTTTCCTTCCACTGATTTTGAATTATATCTCGAAGTTATCTGCAGGTGCAGCAGTGCCATTGTTCTAGCTCAGTAGTGCCACAGAGCGGCAGTGCCGCGGGCATAGAGCGGCAGTGCTGCAGGTTGAATTTAACAAAAGTTCAAGTTTTATTTTAACAGGCCTATTCACCCCCTGTAGGCTAACCAGAGATCCTACAACAACTCTAGGAGACGTTCATGCCACCGTGGAATGGATTGATAAAGACGTAGCCCACCCCATCATCATCTTATGCTGTTGGGAAATTTGGAAACACCACAATGAGGTGGTCTTCAGAGGCTTGGAACCAAGCGTGGATCGTCTTATCGCTGCTTGCAAGGAGTCAACTCGTTCCTGGGTCTGCCGCATACCAAGGAAGAATGCCTCCCTGGGCGCCAAATGGAGAAACACCTTTGACATGTAATTGTTCCAATTGCTTGAGTTTTTGTAAAACTTTGTAACTTGGAGGGCTTGCCCCCTTCCACCAACCGGTTCAACCGACATCTGTGGAATAAAATGCAGGTGGGGATCTCTTTGATCCCCCCGAAGTTTAACTCAAAAAAAAATCTAGCCTGGTATAATTTAACCCCCATCCTGACCCATTTCTGGATCTGCCACTGATCACGTGAAGCCCTCTCATCTGCGGTCTCCGAAACAGAGGACCTCCTCTCCCACGGACCGGACGCTCTCAGACGGTCAAACCCTAACGACGACGCCGATCGATGCCGCCATCATCGCACGCAGCCCCCTCGCCTGGACCGGCCCTAGCGCACACTCTGTAAAAAAATGAAAAAGATGTTATTCCAAGACCGAAACACAGGTTTTGAAAATTTAAGAAGTTGGATTATGAAGGAACCCTAGTATGGGTTAGCTGAAAATGTTGATGATGATAGATATGGTTGTTACTCTAATGTATGCTTCTCCGACTTCCATTGGCTTCAACGACTTAATCATCGTCCGAGTAAAGGATGGATAAGGTCAGTAATAAATGGGAGACATGAGTCTGTCATTCTCTCTGTCCCCGTTCGCTTCATTGAAAAAACAAACCGAAACACTGTTCCGACTAATTTGTTATGAGAGAAAAACACTGTTCTAGTTGAAAAAGACGGACTATGAGAGAGGGCCAAACGCAATCATGTCCATAGATTAACATTATGATTGCATAAGCATAATACGAGACCGAGTCCAAGTAAACGCGGTTGGATGGGCCGGACAGCCCTGCCCCTGATAGACCCACTCAAGAAAACAAAGCAATCCCTTGCGTTCTTCCATTCAGATCTATAGGAGCACTGTGGATCGTACAGATGGTACGCATTGCTTGGGAGACGCGTCATTTGTACCAGAAGGTTCATAGCTGCAGACTGCAGTGCATAGGAGGCACACAACTACCAGGAAGCAGATATATACTCGGTCCGTTTTTTTTCCTGAATGCAATGTCAGAAGCTCCCTTACTCGGTCGTTTTTTTTAACACAGTAACAGGGGCTTTGCCTTACTTTGTCCAAACTCTCAGACTCGTTTCCTCGCAATAACAACAACAACAACAAAAATAACAACAACAACAACAATATCATAGCCTTTCAATCTTAAGTAAGTTAGGATAGGCTAGAGTTAAAACCCACCGAGAGCCCCAAGTCACGGTTCAGGCATTTCAATAGTTGTTTTCCAAGCACTTCTATTCAAACATAGATTTTTAGGTATATCCCAAGCTTTCAAATATATTTTTATTGTATTTCCCCATGTCAATTTCGGTCTTCCTCTACCTCTTCTCATATTATTAGCTTGGCTTAGGACTCCACAATGCACTAGTGCCTTTAGAGGTCTTCTTTGGACATGGTCAAACCACCTCAACTGATGTTGGACAAGTTTTTCTTCAATTGATGCTACCCCTAAACGATCACGTATATTATCGTTCCGAACTCGGTCCATTCTTGTGTGACCACAAATCTATCGCAACATATGCATTTCTACAACACTGTTGAACATGTCGAATCTTTGTAGGCCAACATTCTGCTCAACACAACATAGCCAGTCTAATCGTCGTTCTATAACACTTGCCTTTTAGCTTTTGTGGTACCCTCTTATCACAGAGAATGCCAGAAGCTTGTCGCCACTTGATTCACCCTGCTTTGATTCTATGGCTAACGTCCGTATCAATATCTCCATCCCTCTGTAGCATCGATCCTAGATACCGAAATGTATCCTTCTTAGGCATTACTTGACCTTCCAAACTCACATCTCCCTCCTCCTGCTCCGCCAAAGTCGCATCTCATGTATTCCGTTTTAGTTCTGCTCAATCTAAAACCTTTAGACTCAAGAGTCTGTCGCCGTAACTCTAGTTTCCTATTTACTCCTGTCTGGCTTTCGTCCACTAACATTACATCATCAGTGGACAACATACACCAAGGGATATCCCCTTGTATGCTCTTGGTAACCTCATCCATTACCAAGGTAAAGAGATACGGGCTTAAGGCTGACCCTCGATGAAGTCCAATTTTAATCGGGAAGTAATCTGTGTTACCATCGTTTGTTCTAACACTAATCACAACTTTGTTGTACATGTCCTCGATGAGGGTCGCGTACTTTAATGGGACTTTATGTTTGTCCAAATCTCACCACATAACATTTCTTGGTATCTTGTCCCACCACATAACTCGTTTCCTCACAAGCATATTGAAAAAAAAACTCTCATGTCCTCACAAGCATCTTGAGAAAAAAAAGAAAACTCTAAGTGTCCTCAGGTATCAAGTTATCTATACTGGCGTGAAAATGACATTTATTTCTCAGTGGCACCGTTCGCTTCGCTGAAAAAACAAGGCGAAACACTGTTCTGGCTGATTTGTTGTGAGAGAAAAATACTGTTCCGGTTGAAAAAAAAACAGCTGAAAAAGACGAATTATAAGAGAAGTGAACAGGGCCAGTTTTCAATTGGAATTCATGTGGAGCCTAGCTGTGATATTTCTTTGGCAAACATTTTAGTTTAACATTGCCTTAAAAGGACAGTTAGAGTTTCCTGCGTATCTGCAAAATTTCGGACAGTTAGAGTTTTATTTTAGGGTCATTTTAAAAGGACAACTATTATTATTCTTGGTGTCCTACGTGGGTGTGGCATTACCTGAGGTAATACATACGCTGAACGCGTTTCAACTCAAATGCATCGCAGTGTACTACCAGATGGACCAGTAGGAGAGTTCTTGGATTTATAGAAGATACAATACAAGTGGCAAACGCGTTAGATGGACAGGACAAAATGCGTTGACTTGACTTGGAGCATAGAGCACTGTGGGAGAGGCGGAGACCTGCACTGCATATAGACCTTGGATCCCTCTTTAATTTCTCTTCAGTCTTCACTCCCTCTCATAATCTCATCCACCATTATTCCAAATTTCCCACACCAAGCTCATCAGCTTCCATCGATCAATTCCATCTGCCGATCAACATCTGCCTAATAATCCCTCGCTTCGCTTGTTAGCCCGTGTGTGCTGCGTCCCATTCCCATGGCTCATCAGCCTCGCGTGCACCCGAACGCGGCGCCGGCGGGTAACCTGGAGATGGGCGACCACGCCCACGGCGGTGTGTACCCGCCGCTGCCAGTTCACAGCCAGTCTGTGAACCAGCAGCAGCTCGGCCTCGGCGGGGGAGGGGGCGGCGGCGGCGGCGGCGGCGGCGGCCCCAACACCTGGGTGGGCAACGACGCCAACACGCTGCTGGTGGTGGCCACGCTGATCACGACGCTCACCTACCAGCTCGGCACCAGCATCCCGGGCGGCTACTGGCAGCAGGACACGACGGCGGCGTCGAGGGACGGCAAGCAGCAGGTGACGTACCGCGCCGGCGACCCCATCATGCGCGACCTGCACCGGCCAAGGTTCGTTTCCGCCACACGGGCCACGGCTGCCTTCTGTGCGAGCTGACTGACCTGAGGCATGCAGGTACTTGGTGTTCATGGGCGCGAGCTGGGTGGGGTTCGCAAGCTCCATGGTGATGACGCTGAGCCTGCTGGTGCGGATGCCCGTTGACTCGCGCCACGTGCGCTGGTCCTTCGTGGTGGCCTACTCGAGCCTGGTGCTCACCTTCGTGGTGTCGCAGCCCAGGACGCACCTGTCGCTGGACCTCCTCATCTGGGCCGCCGTCCTCGTCTTCCTCTGGATCATCGTCAGCCTCCACCCGGACCGCCGCGCGCGCGCCATCCAGGTTCTCTGCTGCGGTGCCCGCGAAACCTGAAGCAACCAAGACCACGACGGAAATCACGAATGATCGAGTTGTGTTCACGAGGAGAACTACTCTTGGCTGCTTCTCTTGTTTTTTTTCCCACCTTGATGGCTCTGAACTGATTAATTGTTGCTTATTCTGGTGATTGGGATAATTTGCTGTCTTTTCTCAGCTAGTCAACCAAGATGTAACAAATCCCGTTGCAAATTAGCCATGAGACGGTTACAAGGGTATCTGGTGGTGAAACTGTCGCGTAAGCTGCAGAAGATAGCCACAGCCAGAGCCTATGACCTTGCTTGAGCGCTATAGTACGTAGTATCTAGATAGAACGATAGATAGACACAATGGCATGATTAGCGTAAGCTTTTCGGCACCCACCTGCACTTTGAAAACTATACTAGATGTTTCCATGTCAACATGTAAAGAAAAAGAAAAAGGCAATGGACATCCACTGGTTTTGCTATTCCTTCTGGCCCGTCTGAATTTAGTCTGTTGAGTATAAAACAATTATCCTTGTTATTCAAGTTGTAGTGAGTTTTGGTGTACGTCTGGTTGGCTGATTCTGACGAATAAAAGTACTTCAGAAATGCTAACGCTCACCCATGTGTTTTCAGAGCCAGTGACACACGATTTTTACTGTGTCTCTGAATATAGGGCCCACATCCGACTTCTTCCGATTAAAACAAGCGAAGCGAGGCGATGCTCCTCCATCGCACGACTCTGACGCATCTCTGTCTCTCCGCGCTCCCCGACTCTCCTCTCTCTCTCTCACCGACGCTCCTCTATCTTTCTCCCCGGCGCCGGCGAGCCCCACCCGCGCCCCGGCGACCACCAGGTGACCCAACCTGCGCCCGCGTGCGAGCTCGCCGGCCATGGCGGATCCAGCCACGTCCATGGCGGATCCGGCGCCGGCCATGGCGGATCCGTCGAGGTAGGTCTTCTTATCCTCCTCCTCTTCCACCTCATTCTCTTCCTGGATCTGTGCCGACCAGAGACAAAGACGACGGCGGCGGTGGCTAGGGTTCCGGCGAGCCTCTTCCCCAAATTTTGTCCTTGTCCTTTCATAGAAAAAAAATTTATTTATTGTGATTTGTGATTTGTGCCGACACAGCAATGCTCTTTGTTACTTGTGATTTGTACCGACATAGCCACGACCAAGGGCGGGGCGGTGGACGGCGGCGGGGGCCAAGGTCTGGATGTAGAGAAGACTGGAGGCTGTTGGATATTCATCTTATGGTTAAAAAAATCATGTGTTGAAACTACATAAAACGTACAGTTGTACAGTAGACAGACTCAAGTACTTTTGAAAGATTCCTGAAGTTTCACTAAAAATGAAGTTCGAAGAAAATCGGCAACAGGATTCCTGAAGTTTGATCAAGTAGCTAAGTAAGTGGACTAGGTGACACTTGATAGTAACAGAGTTGTTTCTTCCCTTCTCATCAGTCATGCTACTAGTACAGAGCAACAAAATGGAAAATGGGCTTAATAGGTCTCGTAAAAAAAAGACTATTTGGTGAGCCCCAAAAAGGTACAAATGGACACTGCTACACAGTACTAGACTCAACAAAAGTCCAAGTGCGCAACGCGCTATTGCGCTACTTGCACACTGTGACAAATTAAGCAGCCATTGACGACTCAGCGCGTTGCTCTCAAGTGAAGCCCGAATTGATGTGTTCAGTTGTCTTTTCGTCCTTTGGTTTGGGCATCCTGCAGCCTGGGCTCATACTCACGACGCTTCATCCATCGTCCGGTCCATTCTAAAGTACAAGACATGTACAGTGAGTACAACGTCCTTCTCAATCTGTCTTCAAATTGCAAGGACGAATTAGACGATGTATGCACGCTCACGCCAACACATGTACAGTGAATACAACGTCCGTCTATGAATGATTGATATTCCCAACAATACGCTTCTCCTTGAAAATAGCAGACTCTTTGATCGGGATGTCATACTAAAAAGGAGAATATTTATGGCTCTGTATGCCCAACTTCTGTCCCACGCCCACATAAGGGCTTATTTGATACTCATCTATCCACCCTAGTCTATCTGTATTAAAATGGTTTGGTGTGAAATTTAAACTAAATTCCACACCAAACTACTCCAACGCACATGGATTGAGGTTGATACATGGACATCCAAACAAGGCCAAAATAAAAAACCACCAAGATCCCTTGGAATGAATAGGTCGAAACCAAATGAACCCTAGATTAGAAAGCTTGCATACCTTCGCCACCTCGGGCAACAATACATTGCAGCCGTCTACCAAAACATGGCATTACATCACCGTGGCTTGCACCATTTGATCTCCATTCTAAGCAGCGCCTTTCTACCATACCCCTGTTCGCTTACCTGTCACTTCCTTACAATGACGAAGAAAATTGGAAGACGCCACCTTGTGTTGATTGAGCTCAAGTTGAAACTGCATGCGGCGCTAAGCTCTTGTTTGGTATGGCCTCTAGGTGCTCAAGTTCCTCCCGAAGAACACAGTAATAACATTGTTGGGTACTATAGCACGGAGCCATTTTAGTTTTCGAGGTAAAAAATGAACCGAGGAAAAGAGGAGTAGGTGGAGCCACGATTTCTAGCTCTACCAGCTCCGTGCTACAATGCTAGTACAGTAATAAACAGTGCACAAGCTAGAGCAGGTGAAAGCCATGCCAAACAGCCCCTAAATAAGAGTATTCAGTGTGTCAACATATATGCGTGAACAGGATTCCGAACAACGCCCATGCATGCCCATGGCTAAAAAGGGAGCGAAGGAAAAAATCCCATGTCGACAACTGAGAGCTGACTCTATATGCATGGTCAATTGACTATGAGCTTGTATGAAAGAGAACCACCCGTTAACTGTCAAACCTTTCAATCGATTGACGTGTTCGCTTGTTGACTTCTATTGATTATGTCTCGCTCCAGTCCAGATGTTCTAGTGTCCGGGCCCAGTTCATGATAATCAACGATCACTGAAGCACGAATAAAACTGCCAGACATTAGGGTTTGTAGAACATGGATCCCCTCTAGGGCCCAAGCAGCTCAGAGAGGAAAGAGTTTCTTGCTCCTATGAATTGTGGTCTTCGATTTTAAACTTTGACCATTATTTTTTATTTATAATGTCGAACAAACATGGGACTATGAAAGTGTATATACATATTTACAAACTAAATCTTTTGAAAACCATTAACACTCAGATTTTTCAAATATATGTTTAACTGGATTTTGGTCAAAGACGTGGTTAGAAGATACCAAACAGACATCTTATTATCAGGTTACGGGCCTAGAGATTAGGCCCAGGAGCTCTACAATTCTGTTGGTCTCGACTGATGGACTCCTGCAAGCCACGGAGTCAGCCTAAGTCCCTTCCGAAGCGGACCACAGGTATGAGGCTTCTATTTTTCTTTATAGTCTTGTGGGCAGCAAAGCAACTTGTGCGATTGCCCTAAAAATGCTTTCTATTTTTAGTTTGAGTGCTTCATCTATTTTTGAGGACCCCGTTTTGAAGCTTAATTTCAACAACGGCTCTCAAATCAAGATCCCTCCGTTTTTGGGACCAATTTTACAAGTTACATTACTCTTACTTTTTTTCTTTCTTCTCTTTTTTCTCGTATGTCAGGAGAGGGGCAAACCGGATGAGGAGCGTGTTGGCAGGCGGTAGCCGCACTAGGGGTGAAGGTGCACTGGGAGAAGGAGCCACACCAGGGGAGGAGGTGCACCTATAAAGGCACCGAGGAGGGAGGGAGCCCGCGCCGAGACCTTCCCATGAAGGAGGAGGGAGACACGTCGAGATCTACCTACCAGGGAGGAAGGAGGCGCACTGGGAGGGCCAATCCTGTGAAGTAGCCACCAAGAATGGAGTCGTCGGTCGGGTCCGAGCAGACCGAGGGAGGTTGCCACACTAGGAGGGTGACGGTGATGAGGGCAGACATGGACAGAGGCAGGCAGGCAGAATTAGGAAAGCACGGATGGAATACAAATAGACGCGAGAAAGATCAGCCACAATGGTCAAGTAGGGGCGCTCTAGATAAAATATGGGTGAAAGGGGACCATGACGCCTAAGGGGTTGAATTAGGCAACTTAAAACTCTAACTCTAAACTATGAACTCTTTTTTCTAATCTTAGTAAAACCTATATAAAAAGATAAACTATCTAAATGTGCTACTACGGTTTTGCTAGTGTGTTGCTATATCTACCGCAAAAAGAGTTATGCAAACAATGTAAACGCGGAAACTAAAGAGTAAGGTAGAGATATGTAAACTCCCGTCGATGACTCTGATATTTTTACCGAGGTATCGAGAAGTACGCAAGCTTCCCCTAGTCCTCGTTGGAGCCCCTCGCAAGGGCCAAGCTCCTGGTCGGGTAACTCCGTGGATAGCCCCGGGTCTTCCCCACGCGTAAGTGGGTCTCCGGTGTGCCTTCCGGCAGGCCTTTCCCGGACCGTTCCCCGCCGTCTTCACTATTAAGCTTCCAGCCGAACCGCCGTGGGCCTTGTTCCCTTCAGTACACGGTGGCGGCCACACCACAAACGCGGTTGGTGTGATCTCGCAAGACTACAAGCCCATCTGATGTACAACAATGGTGCGCGCAAGCATTGAGTGTTAAGAGGTATGCAAACCTCATTAAACACTAGGCCTAAACTTAGAGCAAGCGTATAAGCGATGGTCTAATCAATCTAAGCACTTCGCAAAGCACCTATGCTAATCACCTGATGAATCACTAAGCACTATACAAGTAGAAATCATTAAAATGGTGTATCAACACCCTTGGTATGTTTTCTCAGATCCTCTCAATTCAAATGGCCGGTTGGGGGGTCTATTTATAAGCCCCACTGAGAAAGTAGCTGTTGGGGGCGAAACCCAGCTTTCTGCTACTGACCGGACGCTGATCACGTCCTGACCGGATACGTTCGGTCGTCCCAACCGTTAGAGTGCGCGCACTGATCGAACTCTGGGCTGAGTCCGGTCATCATCGACCGGACGCGTTCGGTCGTGCCGGCACCGCTCTGGAATCTCTCTGGAAA